CAACGATTCTCTAAGGCCCAATAATTTACTAAATCTTAAATCGAAGAAAGCAACTGTTAGTTAAAACACGCAAGGGATGTAAGTCAACGTCACCAGTGAAGTGGAAAATAGTCATGGCAAAAAAAAGGAACGACAACGACGACGGTGACGAGAGAGGGACGAAGCTTGTGAAGTGCAGCCAAGTGTCGTTTGCGCGGCTTGGAAGGGGAGGGGTGACGTTCACGTGGGTGCTCCCACCCTTACGTATATACATGTTAGAACTCTCCCTTTCCAAAAGCAACGAGGGGGTGTTAATCCTTGGCACCTGTTCTGCGGTTCGCCTTGCTACTCTTTACCCACACTTCTGCCAATGTCGTAGCTCGGAGCTTGGGCTGAATTAACGTGGTTATGCAGTCAACGTAGGTGCAAAATGTATTGTTGTAACGGAAAGACAATTCTTAACAGTTACTGTGCCATTTAAATAGATATGGTTATTCATTTTGTGAGATATTTTACTGTTTCTATCAATTTGATGTTGTGTTTATGTTCAATAATAAAGATAACCAATTACGAGGAAAATGGTAATTAATATCGAGTAATTTAACCAAATTTCGTTATGGTTTTACTTAACAAAAAGACATAATAAAAAATTCAGATAAAAATTTTCTTCAACGACGCAATGCCCCTCTAACAGTCATTGTGTTATAATGTGCATCTGATGCAACAATAATACCAATACCTTGTGTACTATGCTCCATTTAAGTCGCAAAAATACTTCACAATTGTGAGGGTAGAGGCAACGGTACGTCGACTCACGCGTTTTAGATACGCACGACCGAAGCCTCTAGATATTCCGAGACAATTTCAAAAGCTCACTTGGCTTGCAACGCCAATCCTCTGCTCTAATTGCATCTTTCGTTCAGCGGTGGCAGCTGGTTCTTTCTCTTTCTCTTAGTGTGTCCACCACGGCATAGTGCCCCGTTTAAGCGCCAAGCAATTCCTCTACTCCATCTTTTCTGTCCTTTGTTTTTTTTTTTTTTTTTTTTTTTCCAATATTCACGCTTCACGCGCACGCGTAAGAGTTTAGTGACCACCACTAGAGAGACAGAGTTGAGTTTCTTCGGGTGGAAACATATGCTGGACATCGTTTTGACTAGCACTTTGGGTAAGCGTACATGTGCCTCTTTGTGGTTTCGAGCTACTGGGTGGAATTTTATGCTCATACAATAGATTGAGATAAAATGGTGCTATTTTTTATAGACAACTCGTAAACGATAAAAGCAACGAAGCAGTTGTAACAACTTTGATATAAAATGTTAGGCAAGAAATAAAATGTTCACGTCATTGTGTGGTTTATAAATAGATGAGAGACAGGCCACCCACAAATGCTCGGCAAAATGGTCTTGGCTGTGAAAGGCAGTGCAAAGTGCCCACGCAACGCCTCCCAAAAATACATAAGCCCACGAGAAAACAAAGAGGAAAATGTCATATATTACGTATACGCATGAAGCTGGTTTGTACACAAGTTGTAGAGGACTAGTCGCATGCGCCCATATGTGCAACGCACAAAGCTTCGTAAAGTCCAGTCGGTAAAGAATGTCCAGCCATAAACCACATCTTTATTTTTGCTCATCTCGCAGCTGTTGCATATACTTGTACCCTACTCTATGCGAGAGCCCAAGCTTCACCTTCGCTTGTACACACAATAGAAACACAAGTCCAAAGAATAGGGATCTAAATTACGTCAGTTTGAAAAATAAAAGAGCCACAACACCGAAAAAAAGAGGGCTAAATAATTTCAAATTACCTACAGTGTGGTGTACGTTGTTGCGCGGGAATACTCTCACTTAATTACCAAGCAAACGTCTAACCCCTAATCTCCATACTCTATGGCATTCCCTGCTCATTACTCTGCAGACTCTGTGTCCACCCTACCTGGAGCTTCTTTTTCTGCATTTCTTTTTTGTTTTTCTTGCTTTCCGGTCGTACCTCTGACGCCACCCTTTGTCCTTTTCTTTTATTTGCACTGTGCATACCAGTTGTCTATACATCAACCCTTGCATAGTCACGGTTTTACGATACGCTCAATGAATCGTCCCTTTTTTCTCTCATAGATGTTTTTACTTGGCTTATTTGTTCTCGGCCTTGCTGCTGTATGATCTTTTCACCATGTGATTTATATGTATTTTCGTTGGGTAGCTTACTTCCTCTATTTCAATTCGTACGATACCCCATTTGCCATTGGTAAATGCAGTAAGAGAGCTGACCGAATTGGAGTAGTTGTGTTTCTTTTGTATAATTTATATGGTTCATATCATAGAAACATACAATACCGTCTTTAAATTTGACATAACGAATAGATAGCTTGTACTTTGGACTTAGAACATGATACATGAAAACGAGACGAGCTGAGATTACTAATTTTCCTTTCGAATTTTTACATTCACTTCTGATAGTTTTGTTCATAACTACTATGTGCATACACAATTTTAAAATATTTTATTCCCATTTGTGCGGGCATTTCTTAGCCAAGTTCATATTATTTAGCAGCAAAGAAATTCAAGGCCAAACTATTCTGTTTAGAGTCATGCTTAAACTTTTCAAGCAAATCAAATATAATTTCTTGTACTTTCTCGATTGCATAATGATGATAACGTTACGTGGTAATGATTACATCAGAGAAGCCCAAAGCCGAAAATATCTTTTGACCTATGAACCCTTCTCACGAGGTGGTTCTCTCAACTTTGATATCGAAAAAAAAAAGTTACAATGTATTCACCAAAGCTGTAATAATCTTATCTTAAGTATACAATTCAATAAAGCAGAAAATTGGCCAATTAAACATGTTTTGATAGGATAAGATTCATGGTAAATTACCTAACTAAAAAAAATTGTAAGTCAGCTCTCTTACGATACATATCTTATCGAAAAGTAAATTATCTCGCAGAACCAGATTTTTACAATTACCTCAATTTTTTCACATTTGGCTATATTGTCTGTGGAAAAAAAAAATCTATCGACCTGGTCAAGAGCAGTGGATCGAGAAGAGATTGGGAAGTCTCTAACCATACGACGTAAGTCTTTAATCAAAGTTTTAGCCAGCATGAAAGTAGAGGAGTTTTTGTTTGATCAGTTGCGCTCTCCTGGCCCCTCTGCCCTCCTGTTTCATCCAACTTTTGACGCCCGGCATATTTGCTATTATTTGAACGCGTTTCCATGACTACGCGAACCTCCACGAAAGTTTTGTAGCGTGCGTCCTCATAAAATTTGCTTAAATGGTTACGCTCACCGGTCTAGAGGAAATTAACATGCATAATATTATCACCAAACATTTAAATTAAGTTCCTGCATGCATCCGTCGTAGTTTAAATTGCCTTAGCTTTTGCATAGGTTTTATCTCAGATGTGTATTAACTACTCTGTTCTACGTTTTGATTCTTTTGTCTGATGTATGTTTGATCATGCTTGTAAAAGTATTTTTCCACAGAATATGTTAGAAAAATCGAATAATTTATCGCAATACATAACATGGCTTACAATTAATTTGTTTGATTTTATATCACACCTATGGCTAACACATACGTGATAAAAAAGGGTAAAAAAATAGGAAGGAGAGTGTACTGGAGAATGAAGGATGAGGATGAACTGGCACGCAAGCAAAATTATTGCACGTGACTTTTGATAACAAAACCAAGTAAACAAGTAACTTTTCACCTAATCGTGATAAATTCAAAATTAATGATTTTTATTGTGGTATAAGATTAAGAAAATGGATACTATACAAACCTTATAGTAGAAGATGTTCAACTATATTGTTAGGTGGTAAGGAAAGGAATGAAGACAAGTACATATAAGAGTATAGGATATGGCTACTTGAGCGTAACAAAGGCAATCAGGATCAGGAAGAGGGTCATGTGGTGGGCCAAGTGGCCAGAAGATCTGCAGCTAGCACGTCTTATAAGTTACCCATAATCGCGTCAATACATCTCCACCCGCCCTTCGTATAGTTTCTACAAAAGTTAGCCAAGCTGTGAAAATCTGCGTGGAATTACTTTCAGCTACGCAAACGCATTTACCCTCATATCCTTTACGACAGGGAGGAACCCACAAGATAAAAAACAACTTTTTCCAGACAATTACCGTCATTTTCTTCATTACACTCCCGATGCATATACCATACAAGCTACAACAAAAAATATAGTGATTCAAGAATGACAATTAGTTTTGTATTGTGACTATAAGAAAATCATTTAATCAAATCCTTCTGGCAAATCTAATTTAATAGGGTAGCTAATTTCAATTAAAAAAGCACAGAAAACGTTGAACATGAAAATATGTTGAAGCTCCTCGAGCAGAAATTATATTTCATCTCAAAGATTTTAAATGCTGGGTAATTACTTAGTGCAAAACTTGGTAAGAGATCTTTAAGCACTAATTGAATATAATCAAATGCGCTATAAAACTTTTGATGGCAATGAAACAAGAAGTACGAGTGGTATTACGATGAAAGGAAATTTTGTTAAAAAGAAAGATTGTACATTCCAAGTTTGTCCAAGATTTTCCCTATCGCTGATTGCATTAGTTCTATAAAAATAATAGTTCTATAAAAATAAAGACACTTCTCTGGGATGAAAAAGGTACAGGAAATGTAGTCTACCGTTTTGTTTTAACGTACGTAGACTTTAGATTTTTTTCAAGTAGTGAGAATCACTTAATCACAAAAGTTCTAATGGAACATACGGCACATCATTCACCTCAATTCATCACAGGCTAATTTCCTCGCAGCAAGCATGGAGTATCCCGCAATCGTCTATCCATTCATACTTTCCCGTTATTCCGTATTCCGAAATGGAGGCTTGCGATCGGCCTTTGGGGAGTCAGAGGCAAACTGACATCGGAAAGCTTCATTAACGGAATGACCGACCATGAGAGAGGAGGCTCATCTCTCCCTCTCTCTTCCCTTTTCAGATTTATGCGCTCCTATTTACAAGGTGCTCCCGTAACGGCCCGAAAAACCTTTACCCAGCATTGAGACCATTTGATCGTCCGATACATCCCCTAATGGCCTCTCCATGGTGGACTGTGCACACGAACTTTTCTCTACTGAATCCGCTCGTTTGTTAACATTTTCTTTTTTATTATTTTTTTTTTCTTTTTTCAGTGTTAGCTGGATCGGATGACACGAGGGAGTTGAATTCTACCGGTTTTTATCTCTGATAAAAATAATCTCTTGGCTAATTTTTTTTTTTTTTACTTTTCGAAAATTACGTAACATTTAAATGAACGATTTTTCAAAACGTGAAGTCTTATTTTGCATCAAAATCAGAAATAATATGTGTTTAAATTGAAAAAAAAAGTTTTTAACTTTTGAATATGAAATTTGGGGCACTGGTTTGCTCAAAAGTTGCGAGTTGAAAGGTATTAAAATAGAAACTGTATTAAAGCTCAGGATTTTTTTATGAAGGTTCGGATTATCATTCCCACGTAAAAACTTTTCCTAGTCAATGTAGTTTAAAATATTACGTACATATAAATGTAAAGCAGTTAAATTCTACAAAATTTCCCAAAATCGATTTAAGATTTCTAAATTATGGTCAGCCTAACCCAAATTTGGTTCGAAAATGCGTGGTAAAGTTTATTTATGGTCCCAATCAAACCAAATTTGGCTTATTTTTCAATATATGGAACAATAATTTTGTTATTTGTTATCAAAAAAATGATTTGTGCGATGACTTAACTACTGAGCTACTTTAAACTACGTCTCTTTATCATCCCAACAGAGTTTTCCTTGTTCCCGCACCCTTGGGGGTATTTGAAACCCAAGCCAGCGGTCCAATCGAACACAGTGAAGAAATGGTCCGAAAAACATCGTGGTGATTTAGTCGAGCACAAAAGAAAATAAATAGACTCGTAACGCTGAAATGACTCACGAAAATATTAATTCACTATACGTAAGTCCGCAAGAAAGTGTGGACAAAGAGCACTGGAGCATTAGCGGAGGAAAGGGATTTTGGGCTCCCCCTTTCTCGCACACTGCTGAATTTATTTAGGGTGCAGCAGCGCACCTGCAACGAGGAAAAGTAGAACAAAACTTTCCAAAAGTTTATTTCCTCGCTCCTCTTTTCCCCACCTCGGCTCGCTCACATTGGCTGAATCCGAGTGAAAACGAGGAGAAAGAAATTAAGCAAGAGCCGTTTCAAAGAAGCTGCGTAGCGAGCACCAACTGATTTTTGCCCCCTAAATTTTAGCAGTAAGGCCGCGTGATTGTGTTGTCATAATGAGATATCGTACTCTGCATATGATACTTACAATTTCCTTCATTGTTTTCCACGCTGCTAAATCAGGAACATTATCGGTGAATATTGAATTTTTTTGGCCTTGTTTATCAGCAATTGCGTTTATTCGTAACAATTGAGGACTAAAACAAAATACGAGCATCAGAAACGAATAGGCAAAGGCATAAGGTATGGAGGAGAAAAAAAGGCCATTACGAGTAATTATATCCTACGTTCACGCTACCACGTGGATGGACGTGGACACATTTTTAATCCGAACTGATGATTTTTTGATGAATACGTATACAGCACAAAAGAAAGGTGTATCGGTTCTGCTCGTGGCATAGAAACAAAATGTTTTCAAGTGGTACAAGGAGCCTTACTCTGTTTGTCCATACGTTGGATTACACGCTCATCCGGTAGGACTGATCAATGGCGAAGAGATACCCTTTACGTCTGCGTGGCTGTATGGAATCGAGCTAGCTCCAAGGGTTTAATCAATAAACAAGTGTGAAAAAAAATTGTATCTTATCTAAACATTATCACGCTGGTTTCTTACATTCGTAAGCACCTAAGTTTATAGTTGTTATAACATTTAGATAACTTGGAGCAAGAAATGATTTTTGACTTTTTAGTGTAACGCGGAGTATCGCAAAAAAAGCTCTGCGAATGTGTTAAGCACGCAGTGGATCCAGAGTAGAGTTATACGTTGCAAAAAAAAAGTTTGGTCTCCAAAGAAAAAGAAATGCTCCGAGACGCATTGAGCATTAAAAAGTAGTGCGTACTAGGAAAAAGAGGATGAGTGAAAAAAGAAAGGCATCAAGCTAATCCGTAAGTATACCCATACGGGCGTCTGGCGTTGCGCCACTGAATTGTAATTTAGGGTATAGGAGAACGGTCTCACGCTGGACTCTTGGCAGGGAAAACAAAAAAATACTAAGAGAAAAAAAAACAAAAGGAAGAGAGAGAGATTGATTCATCTTCGGCCACGAAATTAATTTCAGGCCTTTATTTATAAACGATGAATGGCCATACAACTGCTGAGTGGCTTTAGAGGTTTTCTCTGCCCAACGGTCGTGTATCCCCTAAGTCTTAATCTGACGTTATGTCGGGCCGATCGCATCGATTTTCTCTGAAACGTGTTTCTCGGCTATTGGGACACATAATTGCGTGCCCACGTGCTGAGAGAGACTTTACTGAGACATAGAAACAGACGTGGATGGAACAGGATGGCCAATGACGACGATCGTCATTGTGCACTACCATCTACAGCGGGACGGTATCTGTCTACGTCAACGGGGGGTTAGTGTAGGAATGTACGCGAATGATGTTTGCACGCTTTGTATTTTGGGTCGTTGAACAAAGCTATTTAAAAGTTGATCTAATATTGGTAGGCTTGTTTTGGTTTTTTGTTTCTAACACTCGATTGATGAGTACCATTGTAACAAAAAAATGTATCTTCTTGGGTCATAATTTATTATAGTTGTGTCATGAATGGTTTATACATTGAATTTAAAAATAACTACATTATGATTTGAAAGCTTTGAAAAACAAATTAAACTTTAAATAATAAGCTATGAAAAATAAATGTTTCTGGGTTTCAATCTTATTGTACATACGAACAAGCACAATTTATAACATGAAGCTCTTAAACTTTGAACGACGTTCTCAATTTCAAAAGCAAACTGTTCGATAATCATTCAGATACCTTTGTCGAATAAATAAAGTAACACACATTTATCATGATTACTGATAACACAACTGCTTGAGCTAATTACAGCCTTTGTCCAAAAATACAATAAACTGTACCTATACATGGCTTCGTGACTGCCTTTCCTTATACTAACAATAGTAAAGCGTATCTCATCTAATTTTTATGATCTCTAACAGGTGTTGTACATGTATATATGTAACAAGTGTGGAGAATGTGTATATGTATAAAGAAAAACAGTTTATCAATTTATCTTCAAAGAAAAACGTATACGTAAGAATGGATTTGACGTAAAACTTTTTGTCTTTAGACAAAGATACCATGACATTCGACAAATTGTACATTTAAAAAAAAAGTAGAATATCACCTAAAAGCTTACAATGCACCATTTCGTGGTATACGTGCTCGATTTGACAGTGGTAGGATAGTCTCTGCAATGAAGCATATGCTTCTTTAACGAGCCAACGGTATGCCAAAGTGCACTAACTTGCACGTGAAATAAGACCACGCGATAGCTCGCTAAGATTTAGATTCGACGTCTCCTCGCTCATCCAAAGTAAGGGAACAGGAAAAGAAGAAGAGCTGGGTGGAGATTGCATGTATATGGGGTGGCATAAATTTCGAGGATAGAAGGGAATAAATGTAAGGCAAGCCAAGGGAAAAGAGAGGCCAGCCAAAGAGGGATGGCTGTGCGTGCGTGCAACCCTGCATATTAAAATTCCGGATGCCTCGTGAAATAATGATCGAAGACCTGCTGCTACTGCTACTCTGGCTTTTCCTTTGATTCCATTCTTTCTCTCTTCCTTTTTTTTTT